TACAATACTTATTTATTTATTAATTTCAAATTTTTCTCTCTCCGTTTAACAATTATACATTTCAACCAAAAATTTTATGCAATGTGAAATTTTTTTGAATTTCTTAAAAAACTAATGGACTCAAAACAAAACACTAGTCCTCGAAAAATAAAATTATAACAAACTAAATTTTAAGAAATAAAAAGTTTTTAATGAAATGAAAGATGAATATGAAAAACACTTCTTTATAGTTTAACCGCTGTAAGGGTATCTGATATTTAAAAAACATATAGTGATTACCCATTTTTGTATCATTACTGACTATTAAAAGCCACCCTACTGTACTCCCCCAAATGGCTACCAAGATGTCATTGAAATCCGTTCATCAGTTTGATGTAAATTCTGTTCATAGAAAAACCAAAATTTAAAAAAAAGTTGCGGGATGTCCAATAAAATCTACTTTTGCAATGTTCCAGTTTATTTAATTTTTTATACATGGTATTTCAGGATCTTATGATGAAGCAAGAAATTACAGGACCTCAGGTTTCCTTTAAAATATGTATTTAGTAACCGCTCTAGAATAGTTTTTGTTATTGTTTTTCACGTACGGATGTAGTAAGATATTTTCATTCTTCTAAACTATTAATATAACTCAACATGAATATTAGATTCTCTACCCTTTCACCTCTCTACCTAACCTACGCATATTATTATTGTATGGTTTACCTTTCTTTTTTTTTTTTAAAGAAACTTCAGTATTGAATTCATAACTATTCAAAAATGAATAGTACATATATTAATATTTATTTAATTTCATTTTTAGGTGCCGGAGTTGTAACAACAAGAGCACATATTCACTACTTAGTAACGGAATATGGTATTGCATTTCTTTTTGGAAAGTCTCTTCGACAAAGGGCTTACGAGCTTATTAAAATTGCCCACCCTGACCACAGGGAATCACTGGAAAAAGCTGCTTTCGAAAGACTTCACTGCATGCCAAGTCCTCAATAAAAACCTATGTTGCAATAGCAAAACATGCGCCCCTTTATATGTATAATATAATAATAATAATACAATAATAATAAATACTTAGATATTAAATAAGTGTTAAGGAACGACACGAAATATTATATAGTAATATTCACAATCAGTCCAATGCCCTTGTGTTAAGAGAATAGAGTATTAGTCATAAGTACAACAAATAATAACGTTATTTATATGTGAATTCTGATTTGGAAGGAATCCCACATGCTAATGTTGCAAAACTATTTTAATAGACCAAACGTAAAGCTTATTTAGTTTTATTTCTCATATGAAAAATGAGAAAGGGCGAGAAAAAAACGTAATTTATAATAATTTTTTCTTTGATATGATAAAAACATTTCACAAGACCGATGTTGGCGTAATCAAACATTCCGTTCTTCTATCAACTGCATTTATTAATAATTGGATTAAAACATCAACAATTTCTTAAGATCTTTAGCAGATGTAGGTATGAAATAAATAAACTATATTATTATTATATGTTCAATATCACAATATCATCATTTTCCTTGGTATTACACTAAAAGTCGATTCCTTCTGGTAGTGTACCGTTTTTTCTCGCTTTTTCTACGTTGTTGTAATAAATAGAAAAATCGACATAAGCGTCGATTCTTTGGTCAGGACCCAGCCCATCATCAGTATCAGTTCTCCGACCATCTGAACTACTAGAAGTGTCATTGGTGTTCTCTGCAGTTGTATTTCTAGTGCTGACATTGTAACTGTTCACTGCTGTATTTGTTAGGGTGAGATTCTGGGGCGAAACTGAATTAAAACTAACTGATGGATTGGTAGGAGAGTTTATGGCATTGGGCATTGGGAAATTAAAGTTGCGCATCACCAGCGTGATATCTTCACGTTTTGTTTTTACAGAATTTGAGTTTGACATATACCAGTCGTGATGGAGACGTACGGCTCTATCCACTACGGCTTGTGCTACCCCAGTCAATGTAGCCTGCTCTCTAAACTATAAAAAAAGACGACAACCCGTTTTATATTCAATGAAAGACCATTACATTTAATAAACATAAACTATCGTTACGTTGTTATTAAATTCATGGGAAATGACCGCATTTTCAGTGTTTCTTTCATATGATCTTCTTATTTTATTAAAGCTTTTGCAATGTAATAACAAACACATATAATCTATATGGTTGTCTTCATATGTTTTTTAATTAACAATTATAAACTTTTGAGATTATTTAATGAATTCTATTAGTTCTTACTTGCTCAACACACAGCTGTGCTATGTACTTATTGACTTGTTCAGTTCGTGTGGCTTCTTCAATAGATTTGTACAATCCAGCAGACATCAGGAGTAAAAATTGACATGACTCATCAATAGGAATTCCACCTATAATATCTGCTTCAGCTATAACAGGCTCTTGGGAAGCAGAACTGAGATCTTCAAACTCTTTATAACCCCCTTTTACCATATAATTGCCCAAACATCTTGTATTTTCCTGGTTACCTAAATGGGAACCTTAGCACAAAAAGAAATACATGTTCCTTTCATAATAGTCTTTGATTGGGAATAAATGGCGATTAATGACTAGACTGGATTAACTTTGATTAGTGGGTATACTAAGCTTAGCTTGTCATAGCAACTTACGTTTTCTGAGATCTTCCATTTTAATACCAATCTGAGATAACCTTAATAATTCATCTTCATTTCTAAGATCATGGTCTACACTAAGCTGGACAACTTTAAGTACAGAGTTGGCATCAGTTTGACAGAGTAGGACTCTACTGTTGCCCACATTAGCAACATACAATTTGCTATTATAAATTAATGCTATTGCTGCTGCAGTACCGGACGATAATTCGGTATTTATCCTGTTTATATTTACAACCATATCAGGGGCTTTCTGATATGCTTCATAACAATTTAAGCCTTCCGGTATGTCATATGACAGTCTTTCTGCTAGAAGGTCATATATCGAATCCATGTAACTCTTCTCTACAGAAACAAATGCCTGTCTGGACAAAAAAACGCCAACTTGATTATTTGAAATGTTATTCCCAACGATTATTATTTATTAAATTATACCTCAGTACTTCCTTAACCTCTTCATCAGTTCTTGCCTCATTCAACTGACCCAGGAGGATTTCTGCAGCCATTCTTTGAAAACAAAAATCTGCTGCTTTCGTGCCTTCGTGTCCATCAAATACGCCGTACAAACACGAGCCATCATCAAAACTACAATGACAGCTTCTGTCTTCAAAGGGGTGCTCTTCTTGTCGATGACCATCCTCACGATATATTTGATTTGTTGAAAATCCTACTCCCGATTGTTTACAAACAGGCAAATCATCAGTCCAACTTTTATCAGTTTGGTAAAATGATTGAATTGGCTTTAAAGAGCGCATGATGTGAATAGGTGTAGGTATTAATAGTGTTAATTATTTATTTATCAATCTTCTTCAAAGTATTCTCATTTTCTTACACTTCATCACAATACCACAAATCTAAGCACAAATATCATATCACAAATTCACATACGTCTATAATTAGCACCCGAAAACTAATTTCAGGATCTGGCAACACCACAGAGCATAAAAGCAACCAATCTAACCTCACTAAAAATGTAACCTCAAAACCAAAACACAAGTGACCCAAATGGCTGAAAATCAAGCAATTCAACCCACAAAAAAGAAGAAGAAATATGCAAAAAAATCATATTTGGAGACAGGAAGGTAATTTATTCTCAGTAATTTGTAAACTAGATTTATTAACGTTGTTTTTTTTAGACTGACAAGTTCGGTGAACTTGAGCAGACTTACGGAAATTGAGGCGTCGTTAAAAAAAACATTAAATGCCGTTTGTAATGAAGTTGATAGATTAGATGTGGAATGGTTGCAATTGTGTAATATTGCTGTTGCACCAAAAATAGAACCAACAGTATTAGATCTTCACTTAAGGACCTCTGACCTAAATAACAAGAGTTTTGACAATGTAGATGTTATCAACTCTGTTGCAATTGATCTTCAATTAAATATTAATAAAAATAGCAACTTGAACGAACGAGTCGAAGATTATGAATCTGATGAAGATACTTAATAGAAGTACCTTAACTTTTGTGTGGATTAAATTATTATTATTATTTAATTAAAATAAATATTTTAAATAAGTCAAGTAGTAGTTTAATGGAATACCTACAAGTAACTACTTGTCACATTTTTACAATCGTCTTTTACAATTTAATCATTTGAATATTTACACAATAAAGTATTGAAATCAAAGTTTTTTCAGTTAAATCTGGCAATGTCGCTATTAATTGTCATTTGCGTTTGCCAATCATTTTATGCAGGCTACATGCATATTTACAGTCACGTGACAGTAATTGCCATCGATATGTTTATAGCCAATATTTATAGAAAAAAATTATGTCCATAAATGGTTAATTTAACGCATTTGGTTGTGAAATAGTTTTTGTGTAGGTATAACGTTAAACATTTAGGTTGAACTACCAATTTGAGTCAAAATGGAAGATTTAGGTAAGTTTCTAAATGTAATGTTTTGATAAAGATTACGTCTTGCAAATGCTATTTTATTGACCTAACCTTAAAGATGACTTCACCAAGTGGTTAATTTTTTTTAATTATTTTGCCTTACTAATGTGAAGAACCTATGTTAAAAATTATGTATGTAAACATGAAAACATAAAAAGTTGAATGTTCTTATTTTTATCGGAGTGTGCATAGGTAAACTTGTTTTTACTATGGTTATCTATATGTCCTAATCCTTAATCTTGTAAGTACCTGCCTTGTTTTATGCCTATGTATGGGCATCGTAGGTATAAACTGTAACAGGCAGATGCCTCAGGTGCTTGCAGCTGATTACTTTTTTTATATTACTTATAGGTGTCTACTTATATTGAAATCATTTTACCTTATATACGAGGGTGGATTGATAAGTTGCCGGCCTGACCAAGAAANAATATATAATATGATGAATTGTTTATTAAACGTACAAAAACTAGTTTCAAAAAGTGGGAGTGGCAAATTTAATTTTCTGTCATACACCCGGTAATGCACTAGTGATTTGATAACCAAAGGTAGAGATGTTCCTTTACTTTTTAGTGAAGCAGGAAGCAGGAGATATTTTAAGGTAGACGTGGTTGAAAAAGGGTATTCCACACGTTCATGTTCATCAAATTACGCATTCTTGCCCGTGCGGCAAAAAGGAAAAAATGCCGAAAAAAGAAATGTGTAATTTCTATGTTCGGTGAAGATTTTGCCTCACCTGTATACGTATTTTTGATATTTGTGTCATTAGATCCATCGTACAGCATAAATTTGTTCCTATTTGTCGCAGTTCTAAATTAGTTTTAGTTTACATTTTTGCGGAATCCTGTAATCGCGCCAGATAAAAAGGAATGACGAGTTTTGATCCCATTGTTTGACCTCAATTATCACAGGACATCGCACTGTGGGTATGATTGCATGAGCGTGCTCAATATTTTGGTTGGATTGAGGATATTTGTTAAAAAACTATGAGGTAAAGGTCTAGATTATGGCGGGGGGATCGTAAGAGAAGATCTCCCCCCACAACTGTACCATAAAAAGTTCGTGGCGGTCTCACCCCCATAAAAAGTTATGAAGTTAATAAACATGCCAATTTTTATGCATTTCTAGGCATGTAAATATTTATATAGTCATTCTTAAACAATATTCAAAGGTAAAACTAATGAAAAATACATAAAAATATTGAGAAAGTTATATAAAACATTATTTAAATAGCTTCATCAATAGGGTAGGTTAGGTTAGGTTATCGGGTTTTGTTCAAGTGACCCCCCTCTTTCGATCCCCCACCTCCACCCGCTTGAAAATAATTTTTTTATTGAATTTTATTTAAATTATAGTGTATGAAAATTGTCAAAATAATCATCTTTCAATCCCCAACTTTTTATGGGGGTGAGACCACCACGAATTTTTTATGGTACAGTGGTGGGGAGACCTCCTCTTTCGATCCCACCTACCCCCACTCCCAAAGGGCCATCATCTAGACCTTACCAACTACAATATAATTATAAAAAAGCCTGATTGTGTATCAACACTTCATATTTCAACCCTGAAATACGGTAGTCGTAAGAATTAGGCAAAATTCCAAAAAAAAATCGTAAGCCTTTTTTTCGGAAAACAAGATAGGCAACAGAAAAATGGGTGTCATATTTTTGTGGTGGATGAATGCGATGTGAAAGTAGTGTTATATAAAAATAATGGACGAAAAATTGAAAGCTGACGATTTTTGAAATTTATAGAGTTAGATAACTCAGCAGGATTAAATAAGCGTTAGACATCAAACAAAGAATAGCTTTTAATAAAAAGAAATCATTTGTACTCGGGATTGGTTAATTTGGAAAAAAGTTGGAAGTGTTTGGGATGTGGTGTTATAGGAGGATGTTAAAAATACCCTGGATAGAAAAAGTAGGATATGATGAAATATTAGAAAGAGTAGGAGAATAGGGGGCGTTGTGGAAATCAATTACAAACAGGCGAGATAGGGTTCAAAGGACACCTTCCCAGATGAAAGGCTAGTTAGAGATATATTAGAAGCAGAAACAGGAGTTAAGGAGGGTAAAGGTAAACCTAGAGATTATTGTTCGCAAATATTAGTTAGACATGTAGGTTGCTCTAGTTTTCGAGAAATACAAAGATTGGCTGAAGATAGGGAAAAGTGGTAGTGCCTGTCCAGCCAGTCTTGGGGCTGAAGACCTTTTGATCTCTAGACCTCATACCTATGCTAAAAGCTAAAGGCTTATTAGAGATATATTAGAAGCAGAAACAGGAGTTAAGGGGGGTAAAGGTAGATCTAGAGATTATTGTTCGCAAATATTAGTTACACATGTAGGTTGCTTTAGTTTTCGCGATATACAAAGATTGGCTCAAGATAGGGAAAATTCCCCGTCCAGCCAGTCTTGGGGCTGAAGACCTCTTGATCTCTAGACCTCATACCCATGTTAAAAGCTAAAATACAAGACTGACATTGAAATGTTTAGATCTTCTAATGGTTACTACTCTACGCGTAATTTATAAACGTTGTTGACGACGCTACTTCTACCTTTTACTACTCTGTCGTAAACTGCCAGTTAACGCGTCCAATTTACTTAACAATTAGTTGTTTTTGTGACTTCTGTCTAATTTTGTCCGTTTCTATTTCTAAACGAAACGTCGGACGCACGCGTTTGTTAAGAGTCCACGGTAGGTACATAAATAAAAACGACAGAAACAAAATATATATGCACATACATACATACATAGACACATGTGTAAGTATATAACGTCAACAGATACAAACACTTATAAACGTTTCTGGGTATATTTCTATTTTACATATGCCGGATATTACATATGTCTCACCCTTTTTTAGTTTTTCCTTTAATTCCTTAATTATTGTTTCCGTTGCGGTGCCTATTTATATTAGTATTATTTAAATTCACATGTTCGCTGTACCCAGTGACTTTTTTTAATCGGAAATCGTTAATTGTAGAAACTTTATTTACACGGTATACGTACACTTAACAAGGCATTATACGTTTGTTTTATGCCTGTTTTACAGCGATGATGATGTTGTTTAAAACTGTCGCTGAACAAAACGAACGTCCGTCGTCTGAATACAGAATCTTTTAAAACGTTTTGTTACGTCAATGAATGAATGAATTTCATTTACATTACGCCGGAATCGTGTCATTTCTGGACCTGTCCACGCTCTCTCCCGCGAAAAGTGAAATCACTTTTTGACGTGATACTAATTTTTTTGTTGTTGTTTCACTTTTGAATCTCCCGCTATTTTTTGCGTTGTTTATTGTGTGAGTTTGGTGACCACTTGCAAGCATGGATCGCACAATGTATGGTAAATTTGTACCCGGCACCCTTCATCCCTACCAGTGCACGCTTAAGAAGGGAACGTTGCCCGGTTGTAAGTTTTTTTTTTGTTCGTAAAAATTACTAATTTTAAAGTTATTTACATACGTTTCCGTGTGATTGTAGTAGCAAATACATAATTACGACATATAGAATTGCTATATTAAATTATTTATAACAATAAATAAGCGAAAAAGTGCCTAATTTGTTTACCATTACTTAATTAAAGTCTACACTACATCCATCACATATACCTCAATTAGTTTTGTTCATTTTTAATATCACAGTGCTAATTATTATATTATTTCATTGTTTTAATTGTTAAAAAAAAAAAGAGCGGAAAGCTAACGGTGTTTGTTTTCGGCGATCACTGGCACAACTAAAACAGAAAACATTGAAACAGATAGAATACTGTTGCATGTGTTATTTATTATTAGACTTCCTTAAAGTGTTTCAAAGTAGATGACTCTGTATCATCAGGAATTTTATACTTTTTTAAAATATTTGTTGGTAAGAGACAAGTGGCTTCTCATCTCGAAATTCATACAAAATTAAATTACGTTTTTTATTTTTACAATTTAAACATAACAATTATTGTTAACATTTGTTTGATAACAATAAATCAAGTTGTAGGTAAGTTGTCGGAACCATAGCCTATTTTTTGGTTAAATGATACCTTACAACCATGTAGGGGAATGATAACCCTGATCCAAAATATATGGCAAAATAAGCAGTAAGCTTATAGGGGTTTCCTAACTCAAAGGGCAGGTTCTGTAAAAGTAAAATAATATTATTATCTTCTAACCGTTCGTGGAAATTTCAGGAAAGGTATTTTTTAGAAATTTTCAGACGATGTTTCTTTGTTAGGGGTGTGAACAGGAAACATTTAATTTTCATATAATTAAACATGAAATTACAAAACGAAATTAAAATCTTAGGGTAAAAATTAATAATTTAAAAGATAACATATACTTCTAAACATTGGAAAATGCATGTATATTTAGGGAAATTCTATGAATTACGTAACCNGAGAGGTGACAACAACAACCACGACCAACCGACCTACAAGGTTAACGATCCGTCGAACTAATGTAACTATATACTGAATATACTATGATTAAACATACATATAATTTAGATATCTTTTAGAAGTGAGTTAGTTTAATATGAAATATTATTCTGAAAATTCATTTCTGAATTTTTTACCCACTACACGCTACCTCAAATTAATGAGGGAAAAATTGTTGCTGTTGTCACACCCCCGCCGGGAATCGAACCCGGGACCTTTGGCTTTACGCACCAATGTTCTGACCACTAAACTACGAGAGGTGACAACAACAACCACGACCAACCGACCTACAAGGTTAACGATCCGTCGAACTAATGTAACTATATACTGAATATACTATGATTAAACATACATATAATTTAGATATCTTTTAGAAGTGAGTTAGTTTAATATGAAATATTATTCTGAAAATTCATTTTTGAATTTTATACCCACTACACGCTACCTCAAATTAATGAGGGAAAAATTGTTGCTGTTGTCACACCCCCGCCGGGAATCGAACCCGGTGGGTCGGTTGGTCGTGGTTGCTGTTGTCACCTCTCGTAGTTTAGTGGTCAGAACATTGGTGCGTAAAGCCAAAGATCCTGGGTTCGATTTCCGGCGGGGGTGTGACAACAGCAACAATTTTTCCCTCATTAATTTGAGGTAGCGTGTAGTGGGTATAAAATTCAAAAATGAATTTTCAGAATAATATTTCATATTAAACTAACTCACTTGGAAAAGATGTCTAAATCGTATGTATGTTTAATCATAGATTTTGCTTAGTTACGTACTCCAAGATCAGTTAAATATTTTGTTTATTCGAGATTTGACGTTTTTTCTTTTGTTTTTACAGATATTCTGTGTGCATGCATAGGTACATGATGTTCAATAAATAATGAAAAGCCTTGGCACATTTTTGCTCTCTACCAAAGTTGGTTGTGACCATGACATTCGTAATACAGCGGATGTATTATGGTGTATTAATGAAATTATTATTCATGTACTTACATCCGATCTTCTGCCTATTTGTGTATGATTGTTTATACGCAGTTTCGTGCCTTACGTTAATTAGTTAGTTCGCAATTCGTCATATATACATACTATCTACTATGTATATGGTGAGCGTAACGTTAAATAATATCGACTTTTAATTACTTCAGTAAAATTTACAAAAGTTTGGTAAAGTCGGCACGATTTATATTTAAGTGTAGAGTATGCAGAGTGTTTCTGAAATAAGTAGCAAAGTTGAAAGAAGTGATAGCGCTTTGTAAAATAAGAAAATTAAGTAAATTTAGAAGATACCACAAAATGTAGCATCGTACTACAGATGGCGTTTACCGCGCCATTTGTGGTATCTTCTAAAACGCACTGTTAAGACAGCAGGTAAAAGTTGGTCTGTGTTCTGTCGGAGCTGTCTGCGACGCGCTGATGAGATCCAAAAAGATCGAAATC